ATTTCAACGTTTATTTTGAAGCATTCTCTCCTAGCACAATAATAACCTCAAATCCTTTGCCCCAACTTCATTTATGGTGGTATAACTAGAAATGTGAAAACAGCCTAGTACAGGTCAGTACCAAGTTACAACCTACTGAAGTTTGGCATTCCTGTTTTTTGCTGTTATTTCAGGATTATTTCTAATTACTACATAATTGCCCCAGTTTTTACAGACTGTCCTACTTTTTCAGACATATGGCAAAATAACCTTCTAACATTTCTCTAGAACATTTTTTTATTCTCTTCACATTTTTAATGGTATAGACCAAAACTACAGTCTGGACTCAATTACAGTTTCCAGAGGACTTATCAAAAGAACTTCCCAGCAATAAGCAACATGGAAACTCTGTTGAAATAAAAATTTCATGGATGCCACCTGCCAATTTTAATTGGTCTAATCACAAACAACCCATAACACAGCAAGCTGTTGCTCCAGGATTTGAAAGTTTCAAGGATTCTCCACCACTACTATGTATGACAATGCCACTTTATTAAAAAAACATTTTAATACTTTAATAACTTGAGGCAACAAATACTGAAAAAATAAAGTCTCCAAAGTAAGACTCTTCTTATTTGTTCTTGATTTCTTTCTTTAAGGCTACTAACATGTGAATGTGTCTCTTAAGTCATCTGATTAGTTGGCTTAATTTTTTTTTATCTACTGCTAGCCATTTCTGTTTTTTGTTTAGTTTAGTTTATTATTCTTCCAAAGGAGAGTAAAATTTGGACACTGGCAGTAAAGCAAATCTGCATGATCTGTGGCAATTTCCTAAATTCTAAGTTATCACTATCATTCTCTTGAACATGGGCCACATTATTTCCGTAAATGAGATCATTATTATCATTCAAACTGAAGCCTCAAATAGCTGACCATTTCTTCATTTTATCTTTGATGAAAAAGCGACACAATAAGAACTAAATGCAAGAATAAGATTTTGAAGTGCTTTCCAGAATGAATGAGATCATTGACGCATCTAGCACATCAGTTTTCACCACTTCCAGAGGTTCAGTGATGTAAGTGATAATCAATGTCCATTATGACAAGCTAACAACAGTGCAAGATGGTCATTGCTTTCTGAATAGACTCTGTGCTAAAAATCATTTTCATCCTAACTATATGTAATTGGTTTCTAGTGGCTACTAACCAAACTTCAGATATGGGGTTGTTTGCTATCCTATAGTACAGAGAACATGTTTATAAGTTAACCAAAGTCAACAGAGGTAAAATACTTGTATTACTTACAGACAAATTAAAAGTCAACAAGCCAACTCTGAAGCTACACATCATTATTCTCTTTCACGTTGTATAATTTCACTCATGAATATTCCCAAAATGTATGTATCAATTGATTTTAACTTCTCAGATTTCTGTCCATCTGCTCTAACATGCCATCCACAATCATTTCAAAATCCCTCTTCTACCTTCATGGTACATTCTGCTCACAATTCTGTTGCTAAAACCAAGTGGAGAATTCGAAAATAGCTGCTGAATCCTAACCTGGGCATTGTCATTTAGAAAGGAAACAGTACGCAATGAATGGAAGAGTACTGAACCCTAGTAATGTGGTATAATAAATAAATCATTTTAAATTTCATGGAGCTCACTTTGATATTCAGAAATTACGTTAGATGATTTGAAATGAGATAAAGCTGTGTAAATTTTTCCATGAAACAGGAGCTCAATGGTTGCAATAAATCATCTGATCCAGTTCAATACTTCTTTTTTTTTTTTTGGAAAGGACCACAAACCACTGTGAAAGTCATTCTGACACTCCATCCAGGATTTGTTTGTTTGTGTAGATTTGTGAGAAGGCAAGTACACTGAAAAAATGATTTCTCCTTGGTTTCCCTCATGATTCCATTTCTTTACAACAACTTAAAACGAACTGTGTTATATTACAGTAGAGTCTGTGTTTTATTTATAGTCACCATTTCACCTGTATTACTTTTTTAATGTCCTAAGAAGCAGACAAAGCTGTCTAACAAAATTTAATGTAAGAGAAACGCCATATTGGATAACATTCCTGGGTATTTTCTTCTTAAAAGTAGGTAACTCTTAATGCAACTAAAATATCTGTTGTGTATCTGCTCTAGTTCAGTTACAATTATAAGTATAATAATATAATGTGGTTTTTTTTTTTTGTTAACCCAACAGATAGTTGCTTACAAGGGTTTTATAGATTTTCAAACATGTGTAGTCTTTTTCTTTTTCTTTGAACTAGGGAGTTGAAGATAATTTGATTTCAAAATAGATGGAAAGATTTTTCATTTCATTTCTAGTCTCTTGCTATGTCGTCACTCATAGCTCAAACTATTATTTCTTTTAAACACTGCTGTTTGAAAACAATAATTGCTGGAAATCATGGGATTCACTAAATGTGGGCTGTATTATGGCCAGATGTATAGTCTTCTTGGATAATCAGATGTTTTACAATGAGTTCAAGGAAAGGAAGATGAGAACAGTTGGCCCAGGGAGAAGAGAAGAGCTTGGGAGAGTAAGAGATTTTGACACACTGTATTTCTAGGTTACTGAGTTAAGTAAGGTAAATGCACAGGGAAATGGCAGAGACTTCACTGGATCAAGTCAGATGAGCTTTGAGGCTTCAGGATTGAGGAGAGTGCCAGGTTAAACACAACTGGAATACCCCGAAATCTGTAGAGTTGTCTCTTCCAGGCAACCCATGATAATGGTTTACAGAAGATGCCAAGAAAACAGATGTGTTTAGCTACTGGTGTATATGTTAATTTGGGAGTGGAAGCAGGTGAGGTGAAGGAAGGAATGATTTAAAGAATGTACAAGGAGGAAATTCAGCTTAAATTTAGACTAGCTCTAAATCACATGTATACTTTTTGATCTTTATGTACTATAACTTCTTCACTATACCTGTTCATTTCCAAACACAGAAACAGAATTCACGTTTATGAGCTTATGCATCTATAACTTTTACATATATAAATATGCACTATATATTATACAAATCACATAAACTCAGAGTTATAAATATATATATCTATACACTGAGTATGTATATATACACACACACATTCTGCTGATGGGGCATTTCTCAAGGATACAGCTTTCATTTTTGTAATTTTAATGCACATCAGTTTTATACTTAAGCATTTCATAGGTTTGATTAAAAGTTCACTACATAAAAATCAATAAATCCTCTCTCATTGATTTCCAAATGCAGAAATTTTGATTGCTGCTAATGTGTCCTTATTTGAAGCCATGAGGCCGACAAAATGTAAATTTTTTCAATAAATCCAGTACAATCGGTACACATAAAAAACAGATGTGATTTTCACCATGTTTATGTTAGTAATGGTTAATAAACCTAACTGATAATATTAATTACTAGCTAGTAGTTTTCAATGTTGTTAATATTAGCTCACTAACAAATCAAAGTAAGTCATATACAGAAAATAAATGGAGATGGAGGTGCATGTATAAACTTCTCACATGGGATGCAATCTGCCTCCTTAGCATCTCTAAGAGACTTTAAAACACACATCATTATAAAAAAAAAAGTCCATATATCCAATCTCACTATAGCTCAATAAATATTTTTCTAAACTAATTGACATATAGAATATGAGATTTTTCCTAAAACAAAAATTTGAAGTTTGGAAATAATTGGTTTTTATGACCATATAAGTCTCAGCTGAAAAAAAAAGACACTGTTTAAAGAAAATCTGTGATTAATAGAATGCATTTTACAGTTCTTTGAAATTTCCTACCTGATAGGAAGTTCTCTATAACTAACCGAAGTAACAAAACCCCAGTCCCTTTCAACAGCTAACTATGAATTTCTTGAGACATATAATTCTTCAGGTAATAGTTTTTTATTTACCTAAAAAAATCAGAGTAGTGCTCAATTTAAAATTGTAAGAGAAATGTGACTTATAGAGGAAAAAAAGGCCTTTTAAATATAGTAACTTGCATTCTAAGACACAGAGGCTCTGAAAATTGATAAAATCAGTAAAAACTGCCCAGTAGGTCTTTTACAATTGCTCCAAAGATATTTTAAACTAACCAGATGTATCAGAAGTCGTCATTCACAGAACTAAAAATACAACCAGCTACTTATGATTCACAGTCCTCGTAGAGTGTGCGTGTGTGTGTTGTGAAATACATGTAATCATTCATTTTTAATATAATTAAAATTAGTATACATACTTTCATACTTTTTTGTTTGCTTTATGATGATTGAGGAAATAGAAGTGTTACTGCCTGCATTTTCTCTGAAATAATATAAATGGCATAACAGAAGTCTATCAACTGAGGTGTATGCACATCTTCCACTTCCATCCAAAAGATGAAAAATCACATTGGACAGAGAACATATTCTTTAGATTAGCGACAGGTGTAAAGCAAGCACACCAGTCAGTCTTTATTTTCAGAGCTGGTTGTGCTGCTCAGCGGCAGAGGGTACAACTATTCCTTTTCATTGAAGTGACATAAATCATATTATTGCCTTCTCCACACATCACCAAGCAGAAAACTTCCCAAGCCACAAAACTCTCTGCTTTTGTTTGAACATCAGTAAAAATTAAATATCAGTACTAAAGACAGAAGCTAAAAACGTGAAAGAGGACCAAGGAGAAGGTGAAGAGGCTGAGAATTTTCTTAGGAGGAAAAAGGAAAAGTCCATACTCCTTTCTCCAGACCAGTAACTTCATTCAGAAGGTGGAAAAACCTAGTTTTTTTTTTCCAAACGACTTGGACTTCGGTGTAATAATTTAGATCAAAGATCACCTAAAACTGCAGTAGAAACTAGATGTTAAAGAAGAGTTTAAAACGAAAAGTAAGAGCCCTCTCCACTTTTTAAAATGCCAACCCAAACCTCATGTTTTGTTGTTCTAATTTCTTTTTACTTCCAGCCAATATCGAAGCTGTAAAATGTATGCCACTACTCTGGACAAATTCTGGAATCTGAGAAAAGTAAAATGGTTTACCTGCTCTGATCCCAGTTAGCAGCAAAAAGGACTAGAATCTTCCTGCCGTAGTGGTCCAGATTGGCCAGGCCCCCAGGAAAGCCATCCTTCAGCGCCTGCTTGATGCCTGGGTCAGTGGCCTTGAAGCTTTTGAACATGTCCAGGTTCTGTTGTCGGTACTCAAAGTACTGGGCCAGGAGGCGGAAGGCCTCGAAGTGATGAAACTTCCTGGCGCGCAAGAATCGTAAGATGAAGGCGTCGTCGGTGCGCAGAAAGCCAATGTCTGGCCGGGTGATGACCATGTCCCTCACCTCCTGGATATCCTGGTGCAGGGTGTCTGGGTTCTCATTGAGCTCCAAACGAGCTTTCTCCAGGGTCTCAGGAGAGAGGCCAGCTTGTAAATGAGTCATTGTTCAGCGTGATGCTGAGCCTGTCCTTTGGGAAGCTGAAGCTGTGGTTGACTGTCCCACCGCTATCCTCAGTGGCCCTTGCTGCCACCACCACCACCACCACCACACCCTGGCCCCTGGGGCCTCCCTGCTTCCTCTGCTTTGCAGGATATGGTTTGTCTTGGTGTGCAATCAATAACCCTGTTGCTCCTGCTTTGCCACTTCTGTACTGGGGGGAGGGGGGCGGCTAATAATCTGTCCCCCACCCCCTTCAACACAGGGCTCACTTGGGTTTCCTCTTGCTTTTCCTTTAAGGAGATGTGAACCTTTGAGGAGCCTGTTGGCCTTTCTTGTCCTTTCTCTGTCCTGACAAAACACCCTTAATGCCACCTTGCGCTGGTGGTTCTGCTCTCCCCACTATCTTTCTCTCTTCTCTTGCAAGATGGAACAAAAACAACCCCCACGCACGTGTCAACCCTGGCTCCTCGATGCTTCTGCGGTCCCCACTGAAGGATGCGCCTGCCAGGGCCTGCGAGGGGGATTCTGATTAATAATAAGGTGCTTCTTCAGCGCTGAGCTCCAGGGCGGGGAGACGCATCTTTACCAGAAAGAAAAAGAGAAAGAGGAGGGGGAAAGCAGCTTATTTTTCTGCCTCTCTGCTCATTCAAAGACGCTGTTTTTAAGACCTTGGTGGGGATTTTATTAAGACGGTATGATCCAATTAAGTGGAACCTCTGCAAAGAACGCACCTTCCCCCTCCCCTCCCGGGTACACCGAGATCTCACTAGGCATCCAGCTGGGTTTTGGGTGGCGGCGGCAGCAACGTGGGCTCCCCCCACCCCCACCCCAACTTCTGCCTTCCTCCGTCCCTTTATTTCAGCGGACTTACCGCGGGGGTTGGGAAGGTAGCTCTCCAAGGAAGGAAAATTCGAAAACCAGGGGTGTGATGGGGGAGGGAGTTGTGGAGGATGAAATTTAAAATGTCTCTATCATTTCTACAAAACCCCAGACCAAGAAAGAAGAAAGAGCAGCCGGCTCCTACCAGCAAACCCGGAGGCGGGGGCGCTAGGCAATGCGGCACTCCCTGGCATCCGTCAGCCCAGGCTTCAGCGGCGGCGGTGGCAGCAACTCCTCTCCGAGGGATGGACAGGGCACAGGAGAGGGACGGTAGCGCGGACCCGGGCCGCGGACGCACTCCGGAGCAGCCGTGGCCGCATCGCCCGCCTGCAGCTCGCCGCCTCGCCCCGCGGGAGAGGTTGGGCAAGGCAGAGCTAGGACCAGCGCTGTCCCAGGTCCCCGCCGGGCCCTGCCATTTTTCGCCTTCGGAAGAGGAGGAGGAGGGGGTGGGGAGTGGAGACCGGGATGCGAACGCCCGGCTGGCAGAGGCCACGCGGGCGGCGGCCGCCTTTGTGCGCGGGGAGGCAAGGGGCGGTGGGCGCGGCGGGGTGGCTGCCCGCCGGCCTCCCCGGGTGCGCTCCCGAGCGGCCCCGAGTCAGGCGCCGCTCCGGGCTGCTGCTGCCGAGGCGCCGGCTGCTGCTGCTAAAAGAGGACTCGGCTCTGCCCAACTCCTCTCTAATTATCCCAGCACCAATCTCGCGGCGACGTAAGCGCCCGCTCGGCTCGCGCACGCTCCCGCGCTTCTGGCTGCCTCGCTGGAGTAGGAGGAAAATTTCGGTGGCCGTCAAATATCCCGATATCCAAGTTTGGCTGGGTCCTGGTCCCCACTGGGCTGCCGGCTAATGGGAGCGGCATGGCCAAGGCCAGGCGGGGCAGCGGCGCCTCCTCGCAGCCCCTACACGCCCCTCTCTCACCCTTTGTGTGCGAGACCCCAGAGCGGCCGGGCATGGAGCTGTTGTAGATGGTAATTCACACTGACACACATCTTCTTGTTCCTGTAGAAGGTAATTCCGATGTGAAAGAAGTACGGAAACAGTTTGTACTTTCTGCCTTGTCTGTTGCTAGAGACGTTTGATTTAGCCAAGACTTGAGTTCCAATGCACTGTGCGGATGATTAAGCCTCTTCCTGAGGTGCTTAAACCCAGTGATGTTTCAACCATAAACTCCTTGATAAATTCCTATTGAAGAGGAGGAAAATGAGAACTAGCGCAGGAAATTACATAGTTGTCAAGGGGAGGGGGCGGGGACGACGCGTCATGACACATTTGTCACTTCATAATAAAGCAAATGTTTCGGAAGATTGACACGCTCGTTCCCTTACTTATATGCATCTGTATACTAGCATCATCACACCAGCACAGGAGACTTTGAGGCCAAGGTGACTGTAAATAGGCATGCAGAAAATAAATACTTTCTATTTTCAAAGTACAAATCACTGAAGTCATGTTAGGTTTAGAAACTGAAGGAGCGCATACTGGGTTCTAACTGACTCAATGCAACTAGCGTTTACCGAATTCCACCACGTGTTATGCATCTTATGAGATTATGGATGAGAAGTGTTCTTGAAGATGGAAGTTTGTCACGCCCTGATGATTAAAATCTTCCAACTTTGTTGTTCTTCCAAGGATTGCATTGACAGAAAGAAGAAACGGGATATGACGAATCTACCACATTTTGTGAGTTAAGGCAAAATTATGTGAGAATTAGAATACAAAATAAATTATACACATGCCTAGTCATTCTCAAATTCATGTTTTAGAAGGAAGAAGAAGGAAACTGCATAGACGCAGGTGTATATTCATACATGTGTGTACATGTGTTGACTGGACGTGTTACAACGCCATCTGCTCGTTTCCGTGGGAATATTGTTCCAGGACCATCCAAACACCAAGATCTTCAGATATTCAAGTCTTTTATACAATATGACATATTATTTGCATAAAACCAATATACATGCTCTTATGTATTTTAAATCATGCCTATATTACTTATAATACATAATATGGCATAGTGCTAAATAGAGTAGTTTCACTGTATTTGCTAGATAATTACTGTAAGAAAAAAGGGAGCATGCAAGCTTAGCAAAGATTCAGCCATACCCCCTGGATAATCCATGGTTGGTTGAATTGCAAGTGGCAAAATCCAAAGACACTCAAGATACAGTTTACACGTGACTTTCTAGCATTGTGACTCTCACATACATTCTGATTGCGATATGAACTGCTAGATTCTTTGATTCGCCTTTCAAGATACTTTTTGAAAATTGATTTTTAGCCAACATTTTAGAAGCTGAAGAAATTTTGTTCTGTCTCATTTCGATTGTATGAAGAGATACAAGCTATCCCCAGTGTGGATTAGTAAATGTGTCCTACAAAGAAGAGACTACTCATTTTTTCAGCCTTTACAAGGATATCGTTGTAGAAAACAGCCTTGAAAAACAGAGGTTGCTGTTCTGTCTACAACGAAGATAGGTTTATTTACAGCAAAGAAGCTGTGGTGTCTGACTTCTGAGCAGAGGCCACCTGAGCTCAGAACTACCCTGCTCTAGTGTCCCCTAATGTATGTAAATATCAGCTGACCCTTTTCTTGGCCTTACCAGATTCCAGTCTGGTACCAGAGAAAAGCAACCTAATGCTCATCATGCTTTCTGTGCCTGAGTGAAAAATCTTATACTTCCAATCCAAAAATTTTCTCTTTTGCTAGCACTGGTGAAACAATTTCCTGCTGATTTGTTTGTTATCTTGTAACTTCTTGAAATTAAGCAGAAATCCATCATTGTACTTAAGATCCAATTGTTAAATTTTATTCTCTGGGGCCCGGCGCGGTGGCGCAAGTGGTTAAGGTCCTCACCTTGCACGCCCGGGATCCCATATGGGCGCCAGTTCTAATCCCGGCAGCCCCGCTTCCCTTCCAGCTCCCTGCCTCTGCCCCGGGAAAGCAGTTGAGGACGGCCCAGGGCTTTGGGACCCTGCACCCGCGTGGGAGACCCAGAAGAGGCTCCTGGCTTCGGATCGGCATAGCATCGACCGTTGCGCTCACTTGGGGAGTGAATCATCGGATGGAAGATCTTCCTCTCTGTCTCTCCTCTCTGTATATCCGCCTTTCCAATGAGAAAATAATAAAAATAAATCTTTTAAAAAAAATTTATTCTCTGATAGGGAAATACTGGATTACAGTTTTGAAACAAGTTTATAGAAATAAATTTGTTGGCCTATGCAATGGAGTGATCCATATTTAGTAAAAGTGTTTTTTTCTATTTATCTATAATAAAATTTCTTTAAATCGTTCATTTTTATATGGCATCGTATGATATGAATAGCCTCTATTACGTAGTAGGATTGTTGAAGTAGGTCAGTTAGGTAAATGTAATATTTTGGAGACCAGGCACTTGGGGTGCAGGTCAAACTGCCTTTGGAAATGTCAACAAGCTATATGAAAGTACTGGGTTTTAAGCCCAATCCCAATTCTATGCCCCATTCAGGCTTTCTGCTAATATAGATCCTCAGAAACAGCAGTAGCATGGTTGCTGCCACTCCTGTAGGAGACCATGGTTCTTGGCACCATCTGTTGCAGGTTCTTGAGAAGTGTTTCTGTCTCTCTGCTTTCGAAGTGAGTAATTTTTTTTAATTAAATGATATTTTCATTATACATAGAAACTATTAATTCCTTCTTTAAATTAGTATAGTCTTATTATATCTACTTACATGTTTGAAATAAGTTCTAATATGGAATACAAAAAACTATCTACAAACTAAGCAAGGTGAGGGGCCAAAGCATTGGCTCAACTGGCTAATCTTCCATTTCCAAGTGCTGACATTCCATATAGATGCTGGTTCATGTCCAGGCTGCTCCATTCTCATCAGCTTCCTGTTTATGGCATGAGGGTGGCCCAATGTCTTGGGACCACGTACCTCCATGGGAGACCTTGACAAAACTCCTAGCCCCTAGATTCAAATTGTCTTGGCTCAGACTGTTGCAGCCATTTGGGGAGTGAACCAATGGATGCAAGAGCTTTCTCTCTGCCTCTCTTTCTCCCTGTAAATCTGCCTTTCCAAAAAAAATAAATAAAGCTTAAGAAAAGATTGATCCGAGGGTTCATCCAAATGACCAAGAGCATTTGATTCTCATTCAATATTAATTCACCTTGCCAAATTAATTCAAAGTGATGTAACCGGAATATAATAATAAGCAAAGTAAATGAAAGGTATAAATAAAGAGTTATTGGTAAAATAATTAAATACTAC